GACTAACACAAAATAGCATGTAGAAGGGGTAAAGTGTGTGACTAGACCAGTGGTTCCCAAATGTAGCTAATTCATTAGCATCATCTGAGATGCTTTATAAAAATACAAATCCCCCCACCCCCTTTAGGCTTCTGATTGTTAGAAGGCCCTGAAATCTCTATTTTTACATACTTAACATTGATTCTGATTGTCAGTCTGCCTTACTATTTACAGAAAGAGAAAAACAATGGCTAGATCAGTCATGAAAGGCTGTCTGGAGCTTGGATCTGAATCAACAGAATTTAAAAGGAGAAACACTGAAGAGGTGGCTATGTCCAGGGAGCGTTCACAAAAGTGAGATGAGTGGGCGAGGGCGGGGAGACGTGATGCAGAGGGATGGGGGCAGGGGGGCGGGACTAACTAGGAAGGAGTGATATTCTGGAGCATCATATAAATCTGGCAGAGGTATTTAGACTCCACACCATGATAACAAGGAAACACAATCCAAGGGGTACAGGGTAAGTCAAACAGCAGGTGAGCATCTGGGCCAGGAAGGGAATGGCAAGGCTGTTGACATGGGGCACATGCTGGTAAGGTGCCAACAGAGAAAAACCTGAAGGGGAGCACCTCCTGGCTGCCTGGCTTGATTATGCCTTTATCCTGAGCACTTAATACAACAGATGCTGAATAAATATCATGGAATGAACAACACGTAGGTGCATATAGTGGCCAACTGGTCACGGAAGTCAACAAAGATGAACGGGTCAAGGACCTGACTTCAAGATTCAAATCCGGGGCTTCCCCGGTGGCGCAGTGGTTGAGAGTCCGCCTGCCGATGCAGGGGACATGGGTTCGCGCCCCGGTCCGGGAAGATCCCACATGCCGCGGAGCGGCTGGGCCCGTGAGCCATGGCCGCTGAGCCTGCGCATCCGGAGCCTGTGCTCCGCAACGGGAGAGGCCACAGCAGTGAGAGGCCCGCGTACCGCAAAAAAAAAAACAAACAAAAAAACAAAACATTCAAATCCGATTCAAATCTAGAATTAAGATGATGGCACTGGCAGAGGTGACTAAAAAAGAGTGGCTTGTTTTCAGTGAAAGCTCTTCTTCATTACTTCTTGCTTTTCTCTAAAACTTTATTTTGGCTTCTGGTGCATGAAAGAATTAGGTGGTTTTGGAATACCGGAATGTACCTTCGACAGTGACATGAACAGCAGGTCTTCTGTCTTGGGAAGAAAAAAACGATGGGCAAGATCTTTTGGTTTGATTTTTGGCAAAGGAGGAGAGATAATCTCGTGAGAATCTAAACTCAGATGACATTCTTCACATGACTTAAGATCACTGCCAGCTGACATGCCGATAGCACTGTGGTGTTAAGCCACCGGACTCCCTGTAAACCTGAATTGACAGAGCTGGCTGGGCTCTGTGTGGCTTGGTCAGCCTCAGGCTTTGCCAACCTGAGGAGACTCCGGGCCCCCTGAAGCTGGCCAGTCAGGTCTCTGGGGGCTTCTAGGAGACTTGAGAACGAGTTCTATGCAGGAAAAAACTAGATGATCTTTTGAAATCCCTTCCAAACTAATGATTATTCAAGGTGCCTTGTGTGTAATCATATTCCACAGTTCCTCAAATGGCAAGCACCATCAAAATTATACGTTCCAGGTCCCAGAAGCAGGAGTTGGAGCGTGTACTCAAATTCCTCTGGATGCCCATCTTCCACAAGCCTGGTCTTAATAAGATCTTTCCTTCTCAAGTGACATCTACCTACTGCTAATATCCAACTAACAGAGAAAGAGCCCTTATTTCTCTAAGACTCCCTAGCAAGTATGATTTGCCAGATTACTAGAGCAGCCAAAATGTATTTTTCTAAAGAACTGCAAAAGGTTATATGGTTCCAATTTAATTTTTCCTTCAAATGCAAGCTTTCCAATGCCTGCCTTTCATAATACACTGAGACGTAATGCATGGGTCCAAATGACTTGACAGTTTCTTTTAATTTACACACATCTAAGCATGTGCAAAAAATTCCACTAGTTCAAAACGCTTCCTTTCCTTAAACATACTTCCAGTTCAAATTACGTGTTTATGGCAGTCTGCAATGTATTATTTCTGAAGATAAACAGTCATGTAAAAAATTGATAGAAAAGCAGCAGCATATCACTACTGTCACACTCTCTCAGTCTTTCCTCTCGCATGCCAGTGGGAGGTATAAATGCATCGCCATGACCAGGCTCGCCCTGCTGTCTCCAGCGTCCAGAAAGGCAGGGCCACCAGTTCCTTTCCACAGACAGCTTTGAGCCTTGGTTGCTGAGAACCTCTTTTCTTCCCCCCCCCCCACCTTGAACTTAGTATAAAACTCAAGAATGCACTAACTGGGGATGTTTTTCCTTTTAAAAATGAGAGGCTTTACGCTCAGATGATCACTACTTCTAACTCCCAGAAAACAGTTGCAGTTTTCCAATTAAAATTAGAAGTATTGGAAATAATGTACTCTAATAACTAAATGTTGAAAAGTGAAGTCTTTCAACTTCGCATACATTTATGCTGCTACATGTGAAACAGTGGCTGAAAAGTAATTTAAATGGCTGTCCTGGGCCTTGAAAAAGCTTCTATTGAGAAAAATTGACTCACTGCCTAACAAAGACTCTGCTACAGTCTTCAAGTTGACATTTTAAAAATATCTAATCACCCTTTTGAATGATACTCCAATTACTGAAAACAGTATCTACCACAGTGAAACAGCTCACTTGGAAAGCATCCAATTCTAGTTGGAAATGAGAAATATTAGAACCCCAAAGGCACAGAGTTGGGGGTAGAGGTGTCACCAGAGAAGACAGGTAGAGTTCAGCCAAAAAGCTCCCTTAAGAAGCACTGTCAGAGAGAGATCAGCTCGGTGCTTTGTGTCCACCTAGAGGGGTGGGATAGAGAGGGTGGGAGGGAGACGCAAGAGGGAGGGGATATGGGGATATATGTATACATATAGCTGATTCACTTTGTTGTACAGCAGAAACTAACACAACATTGTAAAGCAATTATACTCCATTAAAGATGGTAAAAAAAAAAAAAAAAAAGCACTGTCAGATTTATGCAAAACTCCAAGGAGACATTATTCCTCTAGAATCCCCAAACATCAACACTTTCTAGCAAATTTATAAACAGGACTCAGCAAAAAAGGGACGTCCTTAACCCAGTACAGCTTTTTAGGCAGGCAGGCTTCTCCTGAAAATCTTTAGATGGAGTTCTCCCTTTGCCCTGTTTTGCAACAAGATAAGCAATAATGTTTTTCTGAAATAAACAGAGAATCTCTCCCTTTCGGTGTGCAAAGAGCCAAAGTCCATAACTGGCTGGGAGATTACCAATCCCAAGGGATAAAACGATCACTTGCCAAAGAGAAATGCTGATAAGTTTCGGAGTTCTATTCTACAGCCGGAGCACCCAAATTCTCACCTACTGTGTTCAGTTTACAATCCTGCAGATTGCAGGATTGCAATCCTGCAATCCTGGAGATTGCTCTCCAATCTCGCCTAACGTTTGGGCACCGGCTAGCACACACAGAGGCTCCCACACCGATGAAAAATGCCCATCTGCTGCTTAGTGCCAAAGAGGTTTCCCAATCCTAAATCGCATCAATTCAAAAAAGTGGGCTGGGGTGGGGGGAGAAGGGAGAAATAACACGCCAAAGGCGAGGGGGGAAAACTCACAAAACCACCTCTAAAGATGACATTATTTGTCTTCGAAGAGGCGGTTCAGTTTATTAGACATGGACAAGTTATTCGGTGGCAAAGGGAGGAGATACGGGGAACTGGAAGGGACAGAAACAGCTGCACTCCCTAACCGAGACCCCGGACCGCACTGAGGCTGCAGACGGGATCGCGGACAAAGCTCAGGGCGCCCAGGTAGGGGCCGCCAAGCACAAGTGAAAGCCCAGCAGGCAGTTCTCTTTAGAGGGCGCTCATTGGGCGTCTTAAGGAAACAAGCTCCAACCCCCCGAAACGCGACCCAGAGCAGGAGAAACCAAGTTCCCACGGCCGAGGCCGGGGAGGGAGGCTGGGTGCCCGCAGCCGGCCCCGCCGGAGAAGAGACTCCTCCGGGCCTCGGGGTACTCCCGCCGGGTCCCACGAGGGCAAGCATGGCGGGATGGAAGCCTCGGTCTCCGAGCGGCCGGGCGACCCGAGGCCGATCGCAGTGTCACAGTACCCCGCCTCGCCCCGCTGCTGCACTCGAGTGCAATCCGTACTGAAATGCCCTCCTGTCCCTAAGGGCCCGCGAGCTGCCCCCGCCCCGCAGGAAGCACGAGTCGCCGCACCACCGGGAGTCCAGCGGCCCGCACCCCGGCATTTTCGGGCGCGTTCCGCTCACCCACCGCAGGACCGAGGACTGCGCCTCCGCCGGTAGCGTTTCCACGTAGTGTCTGCTCCCTTGCCCCAGCCAGAGGAACATCAAACAAAAGAACTTTTTGCAAACTTTCCTCTCCGGACACTCAAGGGTTTCTTAAAGCTGAGCCCCATCTCCCCAGAACCTGCATTCAATCGAGTAGGAAAGCTGGCGTGGGGGCTGGGCGGGGGATGGTGTGCAGGAGAAGGGACCCCAAGGTTTCCAGGGCGTCTCCGGGTCTCGGGGAGCGCGCGGAGGGGACCAGTTCCCTCGCAGCCCTATCCGGGCTTCCTCTCTCCGGCCACCCCTCCCCATCGGTCCTTCCCGGCCACGCAGCAAGACCCTCCGACTGCGAAGAAGTTGGGAGGGACTTCAGGGGCCTCTGCGGTTCGACAAAACTGCAGTACTCCTGCCCTCATCCCGGGGGACCTCGGGACAACTCCAGCGAGCGGCGCTTTTCTGCGGGAAGCGAAGGGGGAGAGGAGTGGAGGAGCGAGCTCATCTGTCCCAGCAGATCCCCGGGGGCCGAGGGGCACGACTGGGAGTGGGGGGCATCCCCCAGGTGGCGCTCCCCGATTCCCCGCGGGCTCTGCGGACTCTGCTCGGTCTCTGCACCCTAAACGGCGCGCGCGTCCCCAGCCTGGCCCACTCACCGACTCCGCCGACACGCAGGCCACCAAGCCCAAGGTGAGCAGGATCCAAGCGCGCCGCATATTCCCCGGGACCCGGCTGCTCCCAGCCGCCGCTTTGCAACGAGGGAAAAACGAAGTCTCTCGCCCAGCGCCCGGCGCAGCCTGCGCAGAAGGACCGGAGCAGAGCAGCCGCAGCGACCGCCGCTCGGGCTCGGGAGCTCGGGCTCCGGGCTCTCGCTTCCTCCTGCTGCGCCTGCGGCTGCGCCCCGGGAACGCGGCGCCTTCTCACTTGTTGGTTCCTACACAACCGATGCCTAGCTGTTGCTCCGGTGAGGCAGCTCTCTGGAGCTCTTCTTGCTCTGCTGTTGTTGTACTCCTCCGCGGACTCCTTCCCCGTGTCGCGGCTCCGTTTCTGATTTTTGAGGAATAAATTAGGTGGCTTGGAATGTAGCTGCAGCTGAAGTTTGGGTACAGAGCGGTGGGAGCGCCTGTTCCGCGCGGCTGGAGCTCCCGGAGTATCTGGAGAGAAGCGCGTCGGAGCGGAGCTAGTGGCTCAGCGGCTGCGCCCCTCCTCCTCCCGCGCCGACGCCTCCCTCCCAGGGTCCTCCTCCCTTTCTCCTCCTCCTCTTCTACCGCTCCCAGCCTCCCTCCGGAGCCCGCTTCTCCGGGCTTCTCCCGGCGTCTCGAGGAGGGGAGGCGGCAGTGTGACTCCCCGCTAAACCCGGGAGAAATTCCTACAGGATTACGCCCGGATTGGCAGCTCCGGGGGCCAGTGGCCACCAGCAGCTCCGCGCTGTGGCTGCTCTGGGTCTGCGCGTCCGCAGTCTGTGCTCCAGTGCTCTAGTATTCCTTCATTTTCTGACTCCCTTACCCCACCCCCCCACTCTCTCCCCTCCTTTTCTCTCTCCTCCTCCGTGCTCCTTTTTTCTCTATTTTCTTTTCTCTTCACTTTCACTTTTCTGGAGAAAGATCGGTGAAGCGACGAGAGACACGTTTAGCTTTTCTGCCTGTGAGAATCAGAGCAGTACGAAGGAACTGCTTTGAGAGTTGGAAAAACACACACACGAAGTTTACAGATGCCTTCAAGCAGTGTGAAGTGTTCATAAAACGGCTACTTCATGAAAATTGTATTTTAAAAAAGACAATAAATATAGTAAACGTGTATTGAGTATTTCCCACCCTCCCTAACCCCCACCCCCCAAAAAAGGAAGTGAAAGAAGACTCCCATAAACCCAAAATGCGACACTTTCCAAAGCTCATAATTTCATTAAGGGCTTAAATACCATTTTTGCCTCACACACAGTTTAAGCCCCTAACGCATTTTATAGGCTCCATTTCAGAATAGAGGTGTTAACGTTTGGAAGCTACAAATAGGGCAATTTGATGAGAAATTGAATAGGATCCTGAATAATAACAGATTCAAGAGAACTTCAAAGGAAAAAGTAATTTCAAGTTTGAAGAAAATAATGAGCATGTATTTCCTGAATGGAAGTAATTGACCTGAAATATTTTCCTGTGAAATCTCTTTTTTCAATTCTGTGTCTATATTACACTACAGTACATGGCAAATGCATACTCCCTTCCAGTTTCTAGCACGATTTTTCTCTCTGACTTATAAAGTAGATAATTCTATGGAGCCATTCTGCTCCTAGAATGCCCACTCTAGGAAACCAGGGATCTTTCTGTCTTGTTCACCACTGTATTCTCATTCTGACTGCATAAAGATACACAATCAATATTTCTTGGATAAACTTTCATCTAAAACTCAATCTATACTGCATAAGAGTTGTGAGTCTTTAAGAAACATAGATGTAGATATATAGATACTAGGCCTTGAGATTTTTTGAACTTATATTTCAAAATATAAGTTTTGAAATTTAGAGAAATTTAGAGAACTGGAGAGAATTTTAGCGAACACAACCTGTGAGACATCTGCCTCTTTGGTTTTAAGTCCCAACTACCAGCCTCCCAACAGGCAAATCTAAGTCATTGGCAGCCAAGAGGTAATTTGGAAAAATGGAAGAGTAGGCAAAAAAGAAAGAAAAGAAAAAGATCAGGAGACTGGGCGTTGTAACATCAGGATGTTTCTGATTCCACAGAAACTGAGCTGGCACCTGGGTGGGTCAATGTGGGTCTGGCTTGGTTTTTGGAAGAATGAGCTACGACTATATTTTTAAGATGGATTCTTTGTGGGTTGAACACGGCTGAACATGGCCGTTCCTACTTCTGCAGGGCTGCCAAACTAGGGGCCACTGTCATCCTGTAATTTGGATGAAAGTAATCTTAGCCCCTGCTGCAGAAAAGGGTCCAGCTACACACGCTAAGTCAGCAGCTTCTAAGGAGGGAAACTGAACCCGGGTCTATGGGTTTCGGATCCTGTGGGTTCGGTAGAATTTATTTGTGGGTTGAAGAATTTCTTGAGATGGGGAGACTTCTGAAAGGAGTTTTCCAAAGGACAATGAACAATGTGAGAGAAATGCACAAAGCCATAAAATGTCACCTCTACTCCCAAAAGAGACTTAGTCTGCTCTCCAGGCTTTGGGCAAGGTCATACCCCTTTTCTCCCCAGCAGTTAAGAACCCATCAAATAAATTAGAATTCCAGTGAAAGGGGAAAATGCACTTCTCCACTGGCTTTCACAGCTATTGCTGTTTATTGGGGCATCCACCTAACAAGAAACATGGTGGCTGCTCTCTGATTCAGCTTGGGCAGGCAGTGATAAAAATGAATTAGCAGATGCATCTGTTGAAGGAATGTAGCTGTGCACCTAAAGACATACCCCAAGGCTCTTGGTGTTTATGAGACTCTCAGTGATTGGGTATTTTTTAATCAATGGTCATGTAGCATTGAGAGTTTATGTAATAAGGCGATGGTACTATTTTGAGAATTACAGAATATCAGATATATGATAACAAATAAATATTCAAGATCTTGTGCTCAAATGCATGAACAGTTGTGGCCAAAGGATAATCTGACTGTGTAAAAATCACGAACAGTGAAAGCACTTACACAAGAACTGGCTACAAAAAAGTTACCCATGCTGAGTGCGAGTGGGCCTTGTCCCCCGGTGTTAGAAACACGTCTAAACTTGGAATTGATGAAGGCCTGTGTCTTAGTCTGTTTGGGCTGCTATAAGAAAAATATCATAGACTGGGTGGCTTATAAACAACAAAAATTTATTTCTCATAGTTCTGGAGGCTGAGAGGTCCAAGACCAAGGCACTGGCAGATTCAGTGTCTGGTGAGAGCCGGCTTCTTGGTTCATCATTGACAGCTGTCTTTTCATTGTGTCCTCATGTGGTAAAAGAGGTGAGAGGGTTCTCTGGATCCTCTTGTAAGGGTGCAAGTCCTATCCATGAGGGCTATGCTCTCATGACCTAAACACCTCCCAAAAGGCCCCACCACCAAGTACCAAGAAAGAATAAAGCAGGTGAACCTTGGAGATTAGGGTTTCAACATATGTACTTTGCGGGGGACACAGACATTCAGTCTCTAGTCACCTATTTGTGTGTTTTGCTAACTGGAATTTTTTTAACCTGCTGAGGACTAAAATTCAGTAGAATTTTGTGGAGTATATCTAATACACTAAGTGTAGCTTGTGACGAGAGCCAGAGGCTCCTCTGTAATACATGTTTTCAAGTCCTTCATTTGAGGACTGTACTTTGAGAGGTACAGCAAATACAATAGCAAAACTCATCACTTCCCAAATAGTGTCACTGATTGCTAAAAAATAAACACCCTTCCTCAAGAATCTTAGATGAAAATATAACAAATGAACAGAATATAGAGACTAACATGCAGAAATGTGAAAAATAAGAAATAATGAGAACCAGACAACATGAAATAATAAAAACGAAAGCCACTAGAGACATATTTTTAAACCCAAGCTGACACATTGGATTCTATCATTATGGTATCTAAGGATATCATATGATAACTGTGGACAAGCAGGTGTATGTTCCAGGGTGATCTGTCACAGCAGGAAACTGCAGAGTGACAAAGATGCCACTTGGTTGTTCTCGGTTGTTCTTCCACTCACCATCCCCTGGAAAGTTCCCAGGGGTCCAGGCTAGAAATCCATTTATTAGCATCAGTCCTGATTAAACTCACTCAAATTATGATAGAACCTGAGACTAAGAGGAAATCCAGCTAGCCAGCTATTAATTACCCATGCTAATAATGGCAAGTGAGTGGAGACCATGATAAAAATCTACCAGTAATCCAAAAAATCTATTCTTAGCCTCAGTCTTTCCACTGTTCTCTCCTTTCACCTCTGCCAACCCTTTGCCAGGGAAGTTGGCTGATTTGAGTCTTATAATTTGATTCGGTGCTAATGTTGAACAAAATTGTCACATTTTGGGCAGCAGGACACAGGCAGGAAAGTCAAAATTGTATAATACATAAATTGTCCCCTGAATAAAACAGGAGGCAAAACATTCTTATCAGTTTACCTAACAGAGTGGCATGGTTCTTGAAAGACTGGCAAAATTTGACATTCACTCATTTGATAAACTTACATGGATCACCTGGCACATGCCAGGTACCCATGGGGTAGGAACATGAATTTTCTTGAAATGTGTTAGAGTTAATACATTTGACACTAAGAGTTTTCCTCAAGTCGCAAGTCTGTGACTAAGGTCCAAGTCAAACTTCATCCTATGAAAATGGAAAGAAAGCATTATTTATGGACTACATCGTTCTTGGGCATCAAACAACATTTTCCTAAGAGCCATACTTGGATATGTGAATTTAGAAAGGTTCCATTAAGGCATCTTGAAATTATTTGCATTGCATTTGTACATGTCCAGCTGGACAGGAATATCTAATCTTGGCTGATTTTATGTAAAATGTTACTTCTCTTGTTACTACTGTCTGTAGACTATTACTTTAATGGCAGCAAGCCCTACCCCCTTTACTATTCTTAGAGATCCATCCTCTCCAAGGCCCTGGAGGGGAGCCCTGCATACTATATACTAAATGATCCCACACTTCCTTGCTCACAATTATTCAGACCAGGGCTGGATGTGGGGGGAAGCAATTTATTAGTGGGCCAGCAGACCTTCAGATCATTTAAACCAGGGAACTCAGAGTCTAACTCAACTGTACATTGACCTGGGAGTCATCCAAAACCGGTAGGGGGTCCTTGTGTGCTGAAATAGAAGTGGCTGATCTGCAGTAGAAAGAATAAAGCAGGTGAACAGAGAGAATCAGAAATAGAGGACACTTGACTCCAGAATAATGTAGCTTCCTGATTTTTTTCCAGTTCCTTTCCTAGCCTCTTTGGAAACCCAAGTCAACTTGATTCCTTCAGGATCCATGAGGTACTCTGGTATCTTAAGGTAAATTCCTCATTTTTTCCTTAGCTCGTTTAAGAGGATTTCTGTTCCTGGTAAACAAGCGATTCCCAAAGACAGAGCTGAAAATGAGGCAGAGTTTTGACTACCTTACCTTCACCTGGAATAGAATAGAATCCTTGTCATTTAGTGCTTTATACACATACATGAATAAAGAACAGTTAATGAAGACAACCTACTATAAAAACTATTTAGATTTTCAGAAAAAAATTACTAAAAAATGTGTTTAAATTATTGAATTACCTTAGGGAAAATATTTTCCTCACTCAATAGAGTTAGGTATCTTAAAATTTCTAGAAGCAGAATAGAATACATAGATACTTCTCTGAAT